CCCCCCCGACTTACTGACCGGACGTTGGTCTCCAAGCTGTAGGACTGTATGTCAGCTCGGATCTGGATTAGCTAATATGGCTAGTTTAATAACTGGCAATCTGTATTGGCCAAAAAAATCTTTATCGGTGCACTCCTACAGCTTGATCATGAATAAAATTCCTCTCTGATCCCAAATGTGGTATTCAGTCTGACCCTGAGTAGATGAGCAAGACCCTCTAGCCAGGGATCTTTGGGTTTCCACAGGAGCACTGGCTTATTCCAGTCAAAATCCACAGCTCTGGTGTGACTTTCTGAGGAAGGATGGGGGTGTGGGGGATGACCACATTCCCTGACCTAATATGGCAGCCAGCAAAGCTCAGAAGCATGGCATAACCAAGCATCCTCCACTCTGCACTGCAACCTGGGGACCAAAAATACAATGCCATACCTTCTCTTAACCAAAGCTATTGCTAGGTAGACAGACAATTGAGTTAAGAGCATGGATAAGCATTGGTCAGGGATGATTATAGAGTAGCATTGCCTGGAGTGGGTTGTGAAAAGCAACAGCTGAAAGCTCACAAGTTCCTGTCTCACCCTGTCCACATCCCCCTCCCCTCAGCTTGAAGATCATTAGAAAAGCTCTGCAGTACAGGACAGATGGAAATAGGAGGACCATGCTCAACAGTATGAGGATTAAGTAGAGCTCCACAAGTGGCATAACTATGAAACAAAATTAAAGAGTAGGAACAAGTTTAAGGAGATAGGAATTATAGAAAGTAGGAGTTTTGGCTCTCTATACAGGACTCTTAATGCATGGAGTCTACACTGCAGTAGGGGACTGCAAACACAAGTGGACAGTGTTTGGTTTTCCCACACTTCTGGGTTTTGCTGGTTACCACGTGAAGCTAGGACAGGCAGGTCACCATTGCTAACATGCAGGGAAGTACTGTGATAAAGAGTTGGCTTCTCTAGCCCTAGAGAAGGAGTACTTGTATATCCCCAATTACAGGTTCCCAAACTTTAAAATACTCTCAGACCTCGTGTGCTAAAAGTGGGGACAGCTTAGTTGACTGTAAAAATATTCTCTAAATACTTACTTATTTGAGCCTTGGTTTGTATTAAGTGTTGTTTACGTAGTCATTTACTTTCTGGGGGGGGTATTGATATCACACTTTGAAATGCAAGCATTGGGTCTTTATAAATGGATCTGTTAGTACTATATACTTTGGTTATCGTGATTTCTTATGCCGTATTTATGCTGGGAAAATTAATTTGTAGGGGTGCACTAACAGATTTTGGGGGCCGATACCAATAGCTGATACTTAAGGAGGCATATCAGCTTATACCGATCCGATTTCTGATGCAGCTGCCTCCAGCTGGCAAGTCCGGTGTGGTGGAAGGGGCATGGGGTGGTGCAGCTCAATGTCCCCTGCAGAAAGGGAGGGGGCAGGCACTGCCCAAGCAGGGTGGGGGGGCAGTCACAGCTCGTGGGAGGGGAGACTGTTCCCACTGTTGCTTGTACCCTAGGAGGGCAAGGGGGGCGGGGGGCGTGTGCATCTCGGATCTGCATGGTGCAAGCTGTATCTGGGGCTGTGCGGGGCTCTTCTCACTGGGGGCTGGGCCCAGAGTGGGCAATGGTGGCGCTGGGAGTATGCTGCATCCACCCCAGATTTCACTGCCACTTCACTCCCAATGCTGCTACCACCAACCACCCAGCCCAGCCCTGGCTCAATGCCCCACCTCCACCCACATGCCGGGAAAAGCCAGGGCTGCACCGGCCCCTGGGAGTGGGCAGTGGCGAAACTGGGGTGGATGCAGCATCCTCCCAGTGTTACTAGCACCCGCTCCAAGCCCAGCACCCACCAAGAAGAGCCCCATGAAGCCTTAGCTGCAGCCCGGCCCACCCCACACAGATCCGAGAGGCACACCCCCTTCCCCCCCCCATGCCCTCCCGATTGTGCAAGCAGTGGTGGGAGCTGCCTTGAGCTGTGGCTCCAGCCCCCCCGCCCCTCCTGGGCAGTGCCTGCTCCTGTCCCTTCCTCACCTTTTGTGGGGGGCATTGATCTGCCCCCCAATACCCCATCCCTCCCCTTCCACCACACCGGACTTACTGGCTGGAGGCAGCTATCCACACTGCCAGCTGTGCTTCTTACTCCCCTAGTGCTACATGCAGCACGGGCATTTATTGGCCAAATTATTGGCCCTATTGGGCAGATATCCAATACAGCCAGTTTTCTTTATATTGGTACTGATCCGATATTGGACCGATGTGTCGGTGCACCTCCTAATTTGCATAGCTATTTATAGTTCAATATTAACTACCTTATCTAGACTAGACTTTTTGTAGTGTTTTATTGTGTTAAGGTAAAATGTTTTAAATATATTTTATGAAGGATCCAAAGTAGAAGTCCTATATGTATACTAGCTCTGTAGAAGTGGAAGTTACTCTGTTGAATGGGCACACGTTTTAACATTTAAGTGTTTGACTTTGCAATCTTGATACTTTTTTTCCTGTTGTTGTTTGTAATGCAATATCTTTTTCAGATTGTACTTTAAATTTGATATATTGAAGTGAGGGAGTGTTACAATGAGAAAAAGTAATGCTGTGCTGCCTTTTTTTTTTCTTTCTTTGACTGTAGTAACAAAGAACAATGTCTTTATGCCATCAAGCTTCTGTGAACCCTCTACAGGAAATTCTGACTCAGAACCAGGTCAGCTTCCTAAACTTTCTTTCTCACCAAAAAGTTGTGGATTATGTTGGGATCAAGAACTGTCTGTTTAGCACTTCGAGTAAGAAACTTGCTGGAAGAAAGCAGATTAGTTGCTGCTGTTCGTTTCCATTCATGACCACATTTTCCTGACGTGTTTTAAATGGATTGTTTTTTGGCTTTTGGGCTTCTTAATTGTACTTCTCACTTTGCAATAGCTGAACTTCAGGTCAGTTGAGAGTAATGTTTCTCAGTTTGTCATTGTTCTCAAAGATGGTTCAGGGTTCATAACTCTTATCCTGCAAATGTAATGGTCTTTTTCCATGCAAGCTGAATGCTGTTACAGAAATAACATAACCCATACATTACAAGACTGTTTGATTCCTGAAAAAGATTTAAACGCTAATTGTGCGATGGTTTTACTCTATCTAGGGCCCCCACTACATGTGCAGGTAAAGGCACAATGGAATCTACGCACAATCCACACAATCATGCCTCCTGCCCTGCCACACTTGCATGGCAGGAGGTGCAATTTTGGGATTGCACGTTGGATTGCATTATGCCTTATTGCTGGTACAGGGGGAGCTCGGTACTGGGCTGCTCCTGCAGTTGTGAGCTCCTTCACTTGAGGGACTGCCAGCTGCAGAGGCACCCATGCACCTGTGAAGTTGGGGGATCACGGCAGCTGCAATCTTTTGTGATTGGGGGTGTGTGAAACCTTCAGGCCCTGGGGATCACGGCAGCTGTGATCCCCATGGCCCGGGGGTTTCATGTAGGGCATGGTGTCCTTCTGTGACTGGAAGCCCCTGCTACACATGCAAATTAAAGCTTCGTAGCAACCAGGTCTAAAGTTAGATGTCTAAACTGCGTACTTACTTGGTAGCTGGTTGGAGCTTTTTATTGTATGATAAGTACTTTGCACTTGTAGTTAGTCTTATAGTAATTGCACAGTTAACTGGTTAATTGTGCAATACCTATAATATGTAAAAGGGGCCTAGAAGATAGGATTTTGACTTGTAATTTTGGGCTATCTGACTTCTCTGCCACTCCCCAGCTGCAGCTCTTTCATCCCTTTGGAACAGGGAGCTTCACCCCACTCCTTTTACATCAAAGGGCCTTCTTGTCCATAGCAGTTGCCTAGCCACAGCAAGGAAATGAATGTGTGTTGGAATCTGTTTTCTTATCCTGAACTTGAAAGAATAGCTAGGCTTGTGTGTGCCAAAGCTTCAGGGGCATCAGTCTGACCCTCTCTCAACCTGTTGCTGGACATGAGAATTGCAAAATTATATTTTTAGAAAGAATGGAATAATGAAAAACCTTGATTCTTTCAACTTTGCACCCAACGTAGTATTGTTTTTCTCATGCTCCCACAAATAATGTGCTCAAATAAATGGAACTGGGCACAAAGTGGCTGAGTTATGGCAACTAGAATTTGGTTCCACAGATGATTTGGGGAGAGATCCATATTTATATAGAAAGTTCAGAGTACAGATCAGTAACTTTATGTAAATGCTGTATTACTGCTAAATGTGATGCCTCAAGCCTGCGATATTCCAAATTTAATAGTAAACTTTACAAGAATTTACAAGATTTAACCCTGTCCTGTAGTGACACATTGTATCAACCATACTATTATAAACACATGGTAATGTCTTTGTTCCAAGTTTAAACTGATATGGCAATTGACTTTTTTTCCCTTTTATACAAAGCTTAATAGTGGCTTTATAGAGCATTATTAAATTCTAACTTTAATAACAAGACCTGAGGCAGTTTTAACTCACATTAGGAGTTTGCGTAATGTTATTGAGCCCATTTAAGATGAACAGAAAATTTGACAACAGGAGCCAAATTTCTAAAAGGGACCACTTTATCATATTGACTCAACCAATTTACCTTAATTCTTAGATAAACTTTATAATGATTATATAACATTTGGAGAGGATACCTTGTATTTTTATAATACAGAGTTTTCCAAGTACAAAATTTAAGTTAGAGAGTTACAGGTAGCTGTTTGACAATAGAAGGCAGACTGTAAACCCTTGATGTGACAACACGGGCAACATTTACCAATGCAATATACACCAAACCTATTAGACTTGTTTCTGTGTTGCCAGCTTTACTTCAGTACTGTATCTTTTTCATATGCTATTTGAGTCCTGCAGTACAGAATTCTGGCAATCTGTTAATAGTTTGTTGCTTAATCCCACCCATCATCTTCCCCTCAATTTGTGCATTTATAAAATCCAGTTGCAAAAGGACTAGTGTGCTCTCAGTCTCTTTGGTGACCAAAACAAACAGACTCCAGAAGCCGCTTGCTCTGCTTTTATAGCACTTCTAGTTTTGGAATGCTCTCCTTGGTTGATTTGTGGCATCTTTCTCCGTTCCTGGTAGACTGTTTGTTTGTTTAAACCATTTTTTAAATGGATTTCTTTTTTGCTTGTCTTAGTTTAATTCAATATTTGTTTTGGTCTTTTTCCTTCTCCATCATGAAATGGAATTGTCCTTTTCAAGAAATCTTTCTTCAAAGTGTGAAAAGTTGTTCCTGTCGTGAGGTCCCTGCCCTGGGAGCTGAACAGAATTCTTGTACATGTAAATTCCCTGCTTTATGGCATCACAAGTTATATTTGATAATTTAATTAAGAGAATTTCCTTTACCAATTCTCCTTCTGTTTTAAAAGAAGAAAAACTTTGTTTAGTTAAATCTGTATATGTGCATTGCACTTACTCTCTTAAAGTGGTAGAAGTATGCTATAAAGAAGGTCCAGTTGAATATATCTTTTCCCTTCTTCTTTGAGAGAGACAATCATTCAAAACCAAATTCCAGGAACTACTTATTTTTTTTGCTTGTCCTGGAGTTACCTTATGACGCTTCTAGAAATGTTACAGAATCTGAGAGAGAAGTTCTAGAGTTCTCACTCTGCCCAAGCTCATGATAGGTAAAGCATTCACTTGGGAATAGGGATATGCAAACCTATAATTCTGTATAAATGATGGTGCTTTTTCCTGCAGTATTAGGTAAATGAAAAGCTGCAGTTGGGAAGCGAACTAAATCATTTTCACTTTTGCCTTCCTCTTTTTGCACTTAAGATATAGGGGATTTATATCAATCCTGGTGTTCCCCAGCTTTCTAGTATGAAGTGTTAGGCTGATTTTTAAGTTGGGGAGAAAAAAGTGAAGTGGAGATTCATCTGCACACAGAATTTTACATGCTAAAATTAAACATCAGATCTGTCAAGTGTGCTTCACAGCCTCTGCTTGTAGACAATACCTTGTACTTAAAATTTTAAGCACCATCGCCTCCATAAACCATTCTGCAAATTGCTATGAAATATGTGCTGTAGGACTGGTGCAACACCTACCCTCTTTTTGAATCCCTATCTACAACTGATGCCCTGCAATACTCTATTTTAATATTTTTTTTAAATTTACATGATGAGTAGTCACTAACCAGAAAAACGGTTGTTCTGCAAACATCTAATTTGATTTAACACTACCCTTTTCTTATTAGAAACCTAATATTATGTCTGAACGTAGCATATAGTGCCTTCGATTTAAAGCTGTCTTGAAATAGGTGTCATTTCCTCACATTTGCTAATAGTTTGTGTTTTTCATACTGAATGGGTTATTTTGGAGCTCATTGTCCTGTTGTATTTCTGCATTCAAAAGATCTTTCATTTTTTATGTAGCAGTGCTTTTCACAGAGTCTCAAAAAGGGAGTGAATTTATTGGGAAAGGGAGGGGTGGGACACAACCTCCGGCTGTTTCCAGGTGGTTTTCCCTGGCAGAGAGAGATCTTGGATCTTCCTTGTGCCTGATGAAAATGCAGTCTCTTGTGTTTAGATTTAGTTGTGCTTTCAACGTCAGTGTGGTGATAACTCCTACTTAAAGCATCTTTTTGTTTCCTAAGTTTGTCTTGTTTTTGATTTTGTGCTTAAGAACTTGGGGTTTCTTATCAAATGCTCCATTAAGTGGCATATATTGCTTAAAACAATCAAACTATAAGATAATGTTTTGCAAAACCTAAAGAGCAAATAATTTTTGCTGTTACAAGACTAATGCTACACTGAAGAAAAGGTCACCAGTGTTCTTATATTGTGTATTATGCTTCTAGAGGAAAAGAGCAGTGGATTCCGACTGAAACCGCCAACACTTATCCATGGTCAGGCACCCAGTGCAGGTAGGTTTAACTTTTTCTGAGGCAAAAGAGAAACATCCACGTTAAATGAAGATTTCCTTTTATTTGCAACTTTCCTCAAATTAATCTGACAATTTGAAAGGATTGTCATTCCGGTGAGAGAGAATTTTGAATCAAACACTGAAGTTAAGAAATATATTTATATCCAAATAAAAGACTATGCACAGACCCAACCTTTAATTGCATTTAAAAGGGAGTGAAAGCTGCTGCTTCAGCTACATCAGCTGTTAAATTGAAGCTATATTGTTACAGGAGCATGCAGATGCAACAAGGGCTAAAGCTCTTTAGTTTCAAGAAGGAATTAAATGACTAAATTGCAGCAGTTTTGCTTCACTTGAATCACTGCAGGAGCATGCAGATGTAATACTTAGAGCATAACATCTTATATTTGTACAGTAGAACCCCGGATACTTCACAAACCCTCATCTTTGTAGAGGGGTAAGGATCCCAACCCTTTAGAGTAACCAGAGATGTACAGCAAACAGGACCACTTAGATGCTCCAGCAGTTTGCTGTAGATTTATTGAAAAGGGTGCCACTTCCTCACTCAGAGCCCAGACTCCATTCATCTGGCAGGAGAAGTGGCACCCTTTGAATTAAAAACTATAGAAAAGAACTGAATGACTTGTCCTAAATTTAGTGGTTAGCCCTCTGTATGTTATGTGTATCGTGAGCTACCCAAGTGCAACTAATCCAGGTTTTTTATTTGATGTTGATATCATTGTGAAATGGAAATAGAACTCTTCTTAATGGAATTCATAATTTGTAACCAATATGGAAAGTTTTTATTTTGGGCATAGTACATGCAGGAATTAATTATAGCTCTTTTCTGGTGCCCAAAGCTGATGTACTACATTTGCATGTGCTTGGGGTGGGGTTGCATTCTCCTTGTCCCGAACTTGGATGGGGCCTGTCTCTTCAGATATTTGGAAAGGCAAACCAGTTTTTAAAAAGTGACAGGTTAATGTAAGGGTGACATTTTTTCATGGTATTTTAATAGGCTAGGGATTCGTCTTTCATTTATTTCAATAGAGTAATGCTAAATCATTGGGGATTCCCATAGTCTACTGGAGTTAATCCAGTTGGGGTTTCCTAATAGACCGGGGTGGGCAATTATTTTGGTTGGTGGGCCTTTTAACGAGTTTTAGTGAGCTGTCGGGGGCTGTGCACATAATCTTTCAGAAGATATAATTTTAACAAATTATAGATAAAAAAACAAGTTGTACTATATACTAAAAATCAAATGCTTACTGTAACGTTTTAGTTTTATTTAAAAAATATTTTTGTCCTGGTTTGCTGTGTGTGTGTTTGTTTTTTGTTTGTTTGTTTGTTTGTTTGTTTGTTTTTTTGAGTAGTGTATATAGAAGTTAAGTGCATTATAGTTCAAAATAGTCACTCTCTTGTATATTGTGAGTGTGGGTGTGAGGGACTACATATGTGCTAGGACCTGGGAGCCAGCTGGGGGTGTTGGGTTATGTGGTGCACGCAGCAGAGCTTGCCTGGGCAGTGTGGTGCAGGTGCGTTGTGCCCTCTCCCCCCACCATTCAGCTCGTGGCATTCCACATAGGGCTGAGCCTCACCTGGGGCAGCTCCTGTCCACATCCACCCCATACCTGGCTACAGCTGGGCAGCTCCACTCCCAGCACACAGGGCTGGGAGTTGGCTGGGTGCTGGAGGTGGAGCCCCAGGTGCTGGGGCAGGAGCCACTTGGCTTTAGGCCTACCCTTCCCCCTTGACCCCACCCGCTGCCTTGGAGCAGCATGGGGTGAGGGGAGGAGGAGGAGCTGAGCAGTACCCAGGTGGGTGCAGCAAGAGCAAGGAAGCTGTGCATGCTGGCTTGGGCTGGGCAGTGCTGTCAGTGGGTGAGAGGTGTAGTGTTGGCTGCCCTGGGCGGGAATGGGTGGGGCATGGCCTCATGTAGAGTGCTGTGGGGGCAGCCATGAGCTGGATATAATTAGTCGGTGGGCTGGATCTGGCCTGTGGGCTATATTTTGCCCACCCCTGTAACAGGCTGTTTAAGGTTAGTTGGACTTCTGAATCCAGATATGAATGGAATGCTATAAGAAAATTCAGTATAATTCCAAATATCAGGTTAATTCCTAGAGGTAGTTGGAGAATTTAAGAGATGGGGAAGATCTGAGGCCCCTGCATCAGATCTTTTACACTTTAAGGCATGGTTAACCAGTTGTCATGCCTTAAATGGTAACCTGGCCACACATTAAAGCAATTAATGGTCTCCTAAAACAAGGGATAACCCATGAAGTTATGCCACAAAAAATCTGATAACTTTGTGGACTGTTCCTATCACACCATTAATTGAACACGTGGCCAGATGTGTCACTGCGGTGGTGAGCCCCATCAGCTGGTGGGACTCCCCACTGCAGGAGCACATGGTATACCCCCAAGGCTGGGAGCCCTGTCAGCTGAGGGGGCTCCTAGCCTTAGGAGCTTGCTACGTGTCAGTGCAGAGGGAGCCAGGGATCATGACCCCGGGCTCTCCTTGTACAGGCAAGAAGGTGAGATGGCATCTGATGCTTGATTCCCATAGTCACACCTCCTGTCCTGCAGATGTGACATGGCAGGGGATACAATTGTGTGGATCACGCATCAGATCCTATTGTGCTTTTTATGTGCATGTCTGGCAGGGACCTAAGTTATGGATCTGGGCACTGCTTTCAAATATAGCTGGGAGTACCTGTTTTGCACATTACTTTAAATTAGTGGTTCTCAGTTAGGGTGCTGTGGCACCTTGGGGGTGGCATGAGATCCTCTTGGGAGCACCATGGCCTGCCACCCCACATTAGCACTGTTAAGTGTGTAAACATTTATATATGATCTGCAGTATAAACCCAGAGACTTCAAATAGGAATCCAGTGTGAAATACATTCTGACCTGTTGTGGGCTTTCTTCAGGTTTTTAGCAACAGGAGAATCACTCTATTTTCTGTGGTCAAAAATGATTGAAAATTAGTGTTTAAATGGGGTGCTGATGAATTCAGAAGTGCCTTGAATCTGAAAAGATTGAGAACTGTTCCTTTTTAAATGAACCTTTCTGACTTTCCCCCCAATGTACCTTTCGTAGTACCTTTTATTTAAATGTAAAGTTGGTGGCTGAATGAGAAATACATGTGGATTTGTTTAAAGATTAGTAACTAATTACCCCTCTTCTGAAATAATTTTGGAGAAATAAGTGGGAAAGTGCCTTTTCCAGTGTAAATAAATTTCTACTTTTAACTTTGTCCTGTCAGATGCTTAGGGAAAACTAGATGGAAATTGAATTTTGCAACTCAGTACATTTAAATGTCTGAAGGTCCTGGAAAAGTTTGCTTCCATTTTTAGGCCTCCCAAGCCAGAAACCGAAAGAACAGCAACGAAGCGTACTGCGTCCTGCAGTATTACAAGCACCGCAGCCAAAGGCTTTCTCACAAATGGGTAAATCACATTTCTCTATTGGTTTATAATTTTACCTTTACTCTGCATCTAGGTATGTTGCAGAAAACTTAGTTGCAACAGGCTTTATTTTAGATGTCTTCCAGATTTGCCCTTTCTTTCAAAGAAAAAGACCAGAAATTAAGTGTAAACCTAAGATTGTACACAGTGACCTATATGGGATGCAGGTAGTAAATGCAACTTGGGTGAATGGTGAGGCATTGTCTCCAGCACCAAAATAGTGTGGTTTTCTCTACAGCCGTAAGCCCTAGCATTTGGTTTTCCAGAGTATCGTTGACTTTAGTATTCTGATGTTACTTTAACTTCAGTTCATGGACTTTCCACATTTTAGTATGAATTGCAACCTGAATTAAGCAGATTTTTCACTTAATCCTGCTTATTTTATATGTTGTGAAACTGATTTTACAAAGAGCCAAGGAAAGATTTATAGTTTTCATTTGAATGTATAATGTTTTTAGCTTAATTCTTTAAGCAGATCTTTATAGTGGTACCGACTTGCCTTTTTTCTAATCGCCTAGGAAATTATATTGCAATTTTAATACCACTAGATTCTATAAAGCATTCTAAGGTTTCTAGTGCTGTTATTGTGTTACCACCAATTTTATTTATATAGTTCTCTAGGAAGCTAAGTATTTGTTAGGGTGGCCACTTAATTTGTTTTTTAACTTAATTGTTTTGTAACTTAATTAACTTGTTAGGGTGGCATGTAATACTGGCATGTCATTTTTCATTATAGTTCCAAGCAGTGGGACCAATGGTATAAACGCCCCGCCAGATTCTGGAGTGGCAGCTCCATCAGAATTATTAATCAGCACAACAGTGAAAAGATCAGACTCTGAAGACAAGGTGAGTTTTTGACAATGATCTGAGACCAATGGAAGCTTTTTTTTTGATAACATTAAGTTGCATCTCTTGCTAGTATTGTGACTTTCCTGTAGGGATAGCTCTTTTACTTAGTGCTTCTACCTCACTTCAGGTAAATATCTATCAAGAATTGTAAAGTAAGCTTTGTGAAGCCTAGCAATCTTACTATATAAGAAAGTGTCCTTTGCCAAAACAGACTAATTTGCCACTACAAATGCAACAACTGAACTGGTTTTCTTGACAGATACCTTCCATTCTGAGTAGTAGTAGTGGATATACTGCCTAGGCCAGGTTCTGTTCTACTTAGGCACGTAAGTGGATTTAGGATTGCAGTTAGTTGCCTGCTTCATCCTGTTTAAGTACATGGAAAAACTTAATACAAAAGGTGGGGGTGAGAGTGGGGGAGGGTCCTCTTCCTGCTGCTTTTTTGTGATTCAGTCTTGTAAGATATCTGTTACAAAAATAGATGAATCAATACATTTTCGGGGACTTGAACAGCTGGAATAAAATCACACTTTGGCATCTAAGTCTGTTTAGATGCTGAATAGTAGAATAAAATGTGGCCCTGTGTTTCTGTTCCTAACAGAAATGAACCATTCTATCAGCTCTTGTTTTTCTACCTATTTAGCATTGTTGCCACCCTCCTTACCACTATCACTAGCTTTCAATAATCTGCTAAATTTACCAACAAGAGTTTAACAGATTTTCATTCTGGAAAAGTAGTTTCTCCCTTTTGAGAGTTGAATAATATGCTGCTTATTCAGCTCTGGTCTGCAGGTGTCTCCCTCTCTCTACTCTATATGCAGTGCAGAGTCAGGAGGAGTAGAAAACTGTTGCAAATAATGCATACAAATTGGAGTTTCTCTATAAAGGAAGAGATATCTGCATCTGGCAGTTTTTCTTGACTCATCTGAAGAGATCCCCATTCCGGTGGAACTTAAAAAGCTGGTATGAGTGGAACTCTGCTGAAAATGGGGAAATGGGAAAGAGGAAAGAGCTTTGGTGAAAGCCCACCAATCTGCCTGCTGCATGACAGGAGGTGGGTGCTGCCAGCTGGGACTGGCGCGGAAGCCAGTAAGCCTGGCTTTGAAACTCAAAACATTTTGAAACTTTCAGAACGTTTTGAGTTCCCTTGTTTCATTTCAAAGCTATTTCAAAGCTTGTTTCATTTTCATTTTGCTGTTTTGAGCTTGAAATGTCAAGCGAAATTTTGCACAGCCCTAGTAATGATCCATATTATTTTTACATCAGGCAGGGTAGGGTGGCACTTGAAAGACTAGCTGGTTCAGAGAGGCATAAGCTTTCATAGGCAACAGCCTGCTTTGAAGTAGACAGCCTACAAAAGCTTATGCCTCTCTGAACCACGTTGTCTCTAAGGTGCCACCTTGTCACACAGGAAGTATTAGGCACAGGCAGAGAGTTTGTTTTTGCCATTTTAGATTTAGAAGTTTTTGTGCCTTTTTTTTTAACTGGCAAACTAAACTTTTTAGTTGCATGTATTGTATTGCATAATACAAATATAACCCTTCCACCAGGCCTTGTACAGCAGTAGCCCAGGCTCAGATTTAAGGGTTTAACATTGAATTCCTAAATGTGGCTCATGCCCCTATCCAGAAACCTGGGGAGGAAAAAAATTAACTGGATGTTCTACAGTGAGCAAACTTCCCCGCTCAAAAACAATGTTCATCAGAAACAGGCTTATTACAGGGAGGGAAAATCAATTAAATACACAACCTCAGACTTTGACCATTAAACGTTAGTTGCTAGTCTCAGTCATTAGCAAACCAGCCATAGGGAGCCATCACCTTGACCAGTCTGCTTTGGGATGGAGTCTCTCCCAGGGCTGCCATCTGGAGTTGCTACCACCTACACCAGTGTTTTCCCAACCGGTGTGCCATCAGGCATATCCAGGTCTGTTGCCGCATTTTGGGCTGGAGCCAAGCCACTTGCTGCTGCTGTGGGCAGCCAGACAGATGGGGGGTGTGGCTTCAGCCAGTAATTTAAACACCGCACCACCCGCTTCCTGTCACTCCACAGCATTCCACCCTTCGCTACTCCCTGCTGCCTGGTCTGTGGTGTTCAGCTACTCACTACCCAATCCACTCCCTCCCTCCCCTACCCCTCCAGGCTGCGGCTATGCCCTGCTGTTGCTTGCACCTTGCCCCTTTCTGCCCAGAGCGAGCTGCACCTGCGTCAGCGCTGGGAGTGGGGACTCTACCTGCCGCCACTTGCCAGCCAGGGCGGCGGGGGCTGCAGGATGCACTGATGCTGGGACCGGCACTGCTCGCTGATGCAGGCGTGGCTCACTTCGGGCAGAAGGGGACAATTGGCAGCAAGGCGTAGCCCCCACTCCCAGTGCTGCTGCACCTGCATCAGTGCTGGGAGTGGGGGCTCTGCCCTGTTGCTGCTTGCTCAGCTGGTGCGGGGTGATGCAGGCACAACATCACTGGGAGCGGGGGCTCTGCCCTGGTACCGCTTGCCCCCTTCTGCCCACATCATGTCGTCCCCTGTCCCCCCCCGCCCTGGCTGGGCAAGCGGCAGCAGGG